TGTTTCAATGGTGCTTGTACTTCAAAAACCACTCCTGCTTAAATTATATGCCAAAAAATACCTTGTAGCCCTTGAGGGAAGTTCTCTGTGAATACTAGCTTTCATGTATAACACAGCATTCTAACAGTTGTATATCAGAGGCTTGTGCTAACTTTTAGCTTCATCTGTAGAAGAGAACCTATCTGTTTTCTGTTTTTGAAAACATTGTCAAAAGTTCTGATACAATGATAGTACTTCTTTTTATAGCACTAATATTGAGTTATTTAAATATTCTTTTCTTTTCTGTATTGGGGTTTGAACTCAGGGCCTACACCTTGAGCCTTTCCATCAGCTGGTTTTTTGTGACGGGTATTTTTCAGATAGGATCTCGTGGACTGTTTTCCTGGGCTGGCTTTGAACCACGATCCTCTTGATCTCTGCTTCCTGAGTAGCTAGGATTATAGGTGTGAGCCACTGAAGCAAGATCAATTTAAATATTCTTTACTGTCACTTCCAAAAGATCCTAAGCAAGGAGGTGCTTCTAGTTTTGAATGAGAAGATCTGCAGAATTTTTAAACCAATTAGTTTTGCACATAGCTACTATCATCTTTGATCTTGATTATTGCAGTAACCTATTAATGGATTCCCCTCCTTCTGTCCCTTTTGCTCTCTATAGCACACTATCTACATAACAGTCACACTTCCTTTTAAAAGAAAAATCTGCATACAAAAGTCAAACTGGAATTTCAACTCATTCAAAAATCTATGCTTCTTGTAATGGAAAACAGATTTTTACATTATATGCCCCAACCCCTCCCCACCTCTCTGGCTCTTTTCTTTCCTTCACTGTGCTCCACTGACATTTTGTTTCTTTTTTGCTACTCTAACACACTATGGATGGCTCCATGTCAGGGTTCTGCACTGCCTGTGATCTTCATTTGGAACCATTTTGTGGTATGGCAGTTTTGCTCATTCTGTAACCTTCTTCATATATTCCAATCTTTTACTAATCAGTTTCAATTGCACCTCCATTTGGTTTCCTATCTCCTATTCTCCTTTACTCTGATACATTTTATGTATTAACATTTTGCAAACATTTGATGTGCAACATGTTTATTGGTTTGTTTACTGTCTCTATCATTCTCAACTTACTGCAAGTCTATGAAGGCATACCTTTTTTGTCTTATTTTTCTGGAATACCTCTATTGCCTACAACAGTGCCTATTATAAGGCATACATTTACATTTACTACCAGGTGTGGTGGTATATGTCTGTAATCTAAGCACTTGGGAAGCTGATACAGGAGGATCACGAGGTTAAGGGCAGACTAGGACGAGATCCTATCTTAAGAAAATTAATAAATAAATAATTTGCTGAATGAGTAAAGAAGTAAAAATATAAAATTAATTGATTTTAATATGCTAAATTCAAAACTGAACATCTACTAAATTGTTCCTAATAATTTTCCAATTTCAACTTTTGGAATTTTGTTTTTATACTCATATCACCTGCAAATAATGGTTAGTTACCTTCACTTTTCTAATAGTTTTATCTAACTAATCTGGAATCTTTATAACAATGTAAAGTGCTGGTGGTAATTTGAGGAATTCTTGTTCTTTATTTTCACAACAATTTCTTAGATGTTGAAGATTTCAGTTGAAGTTTGAAATGCATACACATAACACGAAGTTTATATTTCCTAACACTTTATCAAAATTTTTTGAGCATTATAGTGGAGTTTTATTAAATTTATTGAAACTCACTGACAGGAATGTGTGAATCTTCTTACTTAACTTTTTAATATGATGTGCTGAAATACAAGACTTTTCAAGAGTGACTAGTCCTTGCATTCAAGGGAATACCTTCACTTACCCATGGCATAATTTCCTTTTAATACACTGAGTATATAATGTCTTTAAACTTTAAGTTACATCTCTATGTAAACATACATTTTTTTCATTTTGTTTAATTTTAGGCAGCTTTGCTAATATTGCAGTGGTCTCTTAGAAAAACAAATATTTTTCTTTTGGTATACTCTGAAGCAGCTCAAATATTATTTAACAGCATGAAATAATTTACTCATCAGACCATCAAGCCTACATGTCTTTTATGTATTTGGTATAGGATATTCTTGGGTGACATTATAATTTTTAAAAAATAATATTCATAATTTTCTAGGATTAATATTCTGATCCAGTATCTCATTTCTTCTTGCAGAACATTTTTCTAATAATCTTTCCTCTCAGATTTCACATTTACCTAATACACAAATCTGTGCCTGTGATTACTCCTTACTTCATTGTATTTGTGCTTAAAAAGTATAAAAATGTTGAGGAAAGGAGCATTCTCTCCTTAATACTTCCTTTGTCCTTTGACTGCCAGGGACAATTTGCAGACATACACTTGTGGTATTAGGGTGGGAACTCATGCACAAGGCAGTAGAAGTAGTTGATGAGTAATGCTGTACTTCTGTAAGGCTCCCAGGGCTTTGGCATGGTTGCCAGGAATGGTGGTGCCAACAGGGTGTTGAGAGTAGAGGAGAAATCTCAGACTACTAGGAAAAGTGGTCCAGAAGTATTAACTCTGAAGTCTTGCTTTGTAATCTAGGTCTGACTTTTCATTTTTTTCTACAAGAAGGCATCAGCAGTCGAGCAATGAAAAACCCAAATTAGTGGACCAACCTGAGAAGTAATAAGGCTTCCTACGTACAAATTTAGGGAGTGTTATTTGGGAGCAAAACTTTCTTTTTATTACTTTGAGATGGAGACTAAAAATCATTATAATTTTATGTAGAAGAAATGTTATCTAGGGCTGATGAAGTCAAATCATCTGAGTAAAGCAGTCGTCTTTCCCCCATTGCTTCTTAGGATCCTTCCTAGAATTTTCTGTTCTGTTTTCCTCTAAAAGTAAGAGTTTCACAGTACTCACCTTCCTAGCAGTAAGAAATCATACTCTGGGATATATACACAATTCTTCACTGCTTATGGCCTCATAATGTCACGTTCAACTCAAATTCAACATGCTCCAAATTGAATTGAATGATACCTCTCTCTTGTATTTTCTATGCCTAATTTATTTTCATTTATTTGTCACCAACATTTATTGACATTCAAGAATGAACTAGAGTCCACATAAATATTTTGTTTTTCCTTAGCCTACATATGGAATACCAAATATTATTTGTTAATTTTATTTCCCTTCATTTTTTTTCTTTTCACTTTCTCCTTGTCCACACCTACCTCCAAAATCCTAGTTCACACCCTCATCATCTCCTTCTTAGATTTTCTTTGGTGATATTTGATGCGTTTGAAATAACTGAAACCATGGTACAATAATCCAGGAAGCCCATTGGGTCTTTGTTTCAGAATTCTAACAAAAAATCTAACTCACCCAGTGGCTTCAAAAAGAAAGGATTAAGATCCGGTGGCTATGAGGTTGGCAAAAGGCACATAATTTGACGACACACTGCTGGCAAGGTTGTGGTAAAACAGGTGTGCACACATTGCTTATGGGAGGCTAAGTTGGCATGAACTCTTTGGATGGAGATTTGGTACTGGTTTATAAACATAAGATAAACTTATCTATTGACCCAGCAATTTTCCTTCTAGAAATTTGCCTAGAGCTATGCTTACACATATACAAACTGCTATATCCGTCTAAGTAATCACAGCAGGAGAGAAACAGAAAAGCAAACACAAAATGCTCATTAAAGGTATATTCCAACTATATAGTGGAATATGCAAAAAAATTAATTAGGTAGATCTCTATAAGAAAGAGCCTGCAGGATTTTTTTTATTACAAATGCTTAGATCTGTAGAGCCCATACTATCATGTATATGCAAATTGTATACATACAGATAAACTTGGATATGCACAGACTATCAATAAGTGCTTATGTACACAAAGCATGTACAGGTGGTGATGTACAGCAGAACATTAGGGATCCTGAGTTGTGAGACATTTTGCTATACATCTTTTATATGATATTGGTTTTCTGGTCATGTGCATATATTAACCTTTTAAAATTTCTATAAAACAAAACAAGAACAAAGACCAAGTAGTAAGTGGTGATAGACGTAGTTTAAAATGACAAATAGCTGCATATGTAAAATGATACACATATACATTCTCCTTATACGGGAAATAACTAAAACATATATATGAAGATATAGTATACGTAACTACTTTAAGAACATGTACACTTGTGTAAATGAAAAATTGATAATTATCTTAAAAAACATCTAGCCATCATAACTCATACAAAGCATATGTAAATAAGGAATTCAACATGCTATTTCATCTTTTAGTCTATAAATATATGTTTCTTTTTTAAAACCAAGTGTGTGAATGGCTGAATGTGTAAGCCTCAACTTCTTTCCAGGAAAAATTTGATTTTGGTAAATAGATTCACAGAGGGACAATTAAAAACTAAAGTGTATATTTTACCATTTAAAAACTTTAATAACTAAGATGCTGAACAATATTTTTGCAACACATCACATACTCATTATTGATCCAAATAAAATAATTCTTCGTGTATTCAATAAAAACATCAACTATACTACACTATTGCTGGCCTTTCATTGTAAATGGCTGTCTGAATGGTAGTGCCTGAGTTTTAAAAAAATGTTTATCCCCCTCCAAATAATTCCCTAATTGTTCTACCATATATAGGCCAGTTTTGATTAGCTATGAAACTCTTTAGCATAAATGTTATTCAGGAAAGCAGACCATAATACAGCAGCTTTAAACAAGAAGGCTTAGAGCATGGTGCTAAAGTTTTAGTGAACAATCAAAATGGTTGATTAATAGTTTGAGCATTACAAGATTTTGTATATTTTAAAAATATTTTGTGCACCAATGATATACAATCAACAAATACTGATTTTTCTACCTCCACATGAAATACTCCCCAAATGGTAGCAATCCAGAACAACAAAGTTAAAATCACAGATGCAACAGGGACAGTTAGGCTAAACTGAAAGTTAACTCTGTGTACTTTGACAAGGAGGAAACAATCCTTAGCTCCAGAGGCCTGCATAATTCCCATGGAGGCCTGATGGGAGTGGCCCCCCAACTACAAAAAGCTTCATCTCTGGCCAGTTGTAGCAGTGGATGTACACTGCATTGGGGAATTCCTCCACGCCACCAAAGTAGTTCACCCAGAGGTCATCACGGTTGAGCCAGCCACTGCTACAGGTGAGTTTCAGCTTCTTCCCTGTGGGCCTGGAAAAGGAGTCTGGACTGGGGGAAGACCTCTCCTCCAGGAACTTCTGGGCCCGGATGTCACAGAAGAGCAGAGAGCCATGGCCCGTACCCACAGTGATGACGTGCTGGTAGAAGCTCAATGAGCGCACACCTGTGCCACCTTCTCGGGAGCATAAGGGCCTGATGTTCTGCTATCGTTGTCGTGGATCTAAGAAGGAGACAAGAGACTGGGAGCCCACCGCATATAGAGACAACTCATCACAATAGGTCAGGCACACGTTCTCTCTGCAGTAGGGCAGCCTGATGGACAGAAGCCTGGACAGGGCGCTCCGGGCTTTCCACAGGTGAAAATAGCCATCCAAGGACACTGCTCCCAGCTCCTGGTTTTTGCCACTGAAAGCCAGGGCTCTTACTTTGCGGTTACCAGGGCCGGTGGTGGCTCTGGGGATGGCCTCTAAGTCCCTTGGACGGATATGGGCATATACAGGAAGCCCCACATCGCTGTGCCAGGCAATGCTGGTTTTGAACATGTCAGGGTCCACCCGCCACAGTGCTACAGTGCCATCGCGAGAGCCACTCACGGCCACGGTGTCACTCATCCAAGCGATAGCAAAAAGCCAGTCCTTGTGACCTTGGCAGTCGCCCAGGAACACCGGGTCGAGGGTGGGCAGCTGGTAGATCGCCAGGCTATTGGGGTTTTCGCCTCCGGTGGC